GCGCTGCAGCAGATACGGAAAAAAGGCAAGCGAGCGGCGAGGGATAGGGACGAACGGGCGGCTGGACACCCCAGCATTGCCAGGCACGGCTCGGGCGCGGCTGCTGCGACGGACGGCAAAACCGAGGACCCAGGCGAATGGGATCGAAGACGAGAGGTGCCCAGGCGCGGCGAGAAGCAAGCCGTGGCAGTGGGCAGGCGCACGGCCAGAAAAAGGGCCGCACCGAGCCCGCAGAGCGCGCGCGAAACCCAGACCTCCCGGAGCCTCTTGCGCGAGCTGGACTCCGGCAGACGGCGCGCACCCGGCGGCCTGAGGATGGGAATTTTAGACCGCTGCAGGCGATGAGCCGGCCTGGCACGCGTCGCCGCCACTCGCGACGCGCGGGGTGGGCACAGCCTGCGTAGAAGAAGAAGAAGAAGAAGAAGAAAAAGAGGAAACGCCATGAACACCACTTTGTTGGCGCTCCGCGCAGATCTCTTGGATCTGCGCTGGACCCCCCTCCCAGGCGCGCGGGCCAGGGGCGGCGCCGGAGGCGCCGCTGGGGGGGCCGATCCAAGAAATCCGCGCGGAACGCCAAAAGCTTATCTTTCATGGCGCTTTCTCTTCTCCGGTTTAGGGGAACAGACAACGACATGAACATGAATGCCCGGAGGTCTGCGCAAACTCCTCGGATCGGCGCTGGGGCCTCGCGGCGGCGCCTCCGGCGCCGCCCCCAAGGGGGTCCGGCGCCCGCTCCGACACATCCGCGCGGACCTCCGAAAAATCATGTTCGTGTCATTGTTGGTTCCCCGAGGTGTGACCCCCGCTGGCCTGGCAGGTCTGCGCTGGATTTGATCGCGAAACCCGATCGGGTCCCGCATCGGATCGGCATCGAACCGCCGCGCCCCGCTTCCGGCTGGCCCTGGCCGATGCCGGCGAACGGAGCCGGATCGCATCGAGTTCGAGTCGCGGCCCCAGCCGGCGAATCGAATCGCACCGATCCGGATCGTAATTCGGCGGCTCTGACTGGTGACGCCACCGCAGGGGGAGCCAGGAGGGGTCGCACGCAGGCATCGCACACGGGCGGCTGCGCAAGGTGGGCGAGCGGGCGTGCAGCGGAGAGAGCGCCCAGCGCTGCGGGCGAGCAGCACTCACAGACGGGCTGCGCCGAAGTCGGCCGCGGGCCTGCGCGGAGGAGGGCGCGCGCGCACGGGAGCGACCCCGAAGGGGGTGCACGAGCGGGCAGGGCGCGCAGGGTGAGGAGTGGGGAGGCAAGTGGGGCGAGCTCAAGTCCCACATCTCCTTCGATTCACCAAGACAGGACCCCTAACCCTGTGGGCGGGGACCCCAGTCCGGCGGGCCAAAAACGTTGGGGATGGGGGGGGGCTCTCTTTGCAGATGTACCGAAGCAGACCGCCCCCCCCCAAAAAAAAAACGCACTCGCAGGCAGCCGGCGGACGCCACGGGGCCGAGCGTCGCACAGGAGGCGCAAGGAGGGGGGGAGGAGGAGGAGGAGGAGGAGGAGGAGGAGGAGGAGGAGGAGGAGGAGAGAGGAGGAGGAAGGAGGGAGGGAGGGAGAGGACGAGGAGGAGGAGGAGGAGGAGGGCGTGGGGGGGGGGGCAGCGGAGCGCGCGGGCGAGGCGAGGAGCACTCTCGGGGCGCGTGGAGTTCTCGAGCGCGCGCGCAGGAACGCGGGGTGCATCGCGGACACGCGGATGTCCGTAAAGGAGTCATCAAGTCACACACAGACGCGCCTACATATCTAGGGGGACAAACAGTGGCATAAACATAAGAACTCGGAGGCCCGCGTGGATTTCTCGCATCGGCGCTGGGGGTCCCTGGAATAAGGACGCGCGGCAAGGACGCAACACGCTTGGAAGCCGAGGTTGGGATTCTTGGGGCGGCGGGCGACGAAACCCCCAAGGACGCAGGAGCAGGGAAAAGCAAGGACGCAAGGGCACCCTGAGCAAAGTCGCGCGTCCTTATTTGGGTTTTTGAGTGTACGCGGATGTCCGTAAAGGAGTCAACAAGTCACACACAGACGCGCCTCTACATATCTAGGGGCAAACAGTGACATAAACATCAAAACTCGGAGGCCCGCGCGGATTTCTCGCATCGGCGTTGGGGATCCCTGGCGGCGCCTCCGGCGCGGCCCCTGGGGGTCCAGCGCCGATCCCAGCAATCCGCGCGGACCTCCAAATTGTTCTGTTTATGTCACTGCTTGCTTCCCGAATATCAGCACGTACACGCCCGCGCACGATTGATTCGAAGTCGGGACAGTTGTGCAGAGGCATTGGGGCCCCAATCGGGGCGGACCAGGTGCAGGGCAAGTTCTAACGGTGGGGATGTCTGCCGGCTGCAAGCATCGGCGCAGCCCACAGGCCGAGCGTAACAGCCGTCCCCGTGCTGCACGGGTCTGCAAAAATCTGCGACGCGTGCTAAACAAAACGTGTTGAAGCAAGTCCTGAAATAAACAGCTCATCGTAACCAATATGCACGCAACCGCGGATCAACCAACCGA